CCTCTCAAACAGCAAGAGCTCCAACACACGGTGTTACACGGTCAGCGGACATCATTACAGGTTGATGACCGACGAAGGTTGCGGCATGCCATTTCACACCCTTTGCAAAGGTCGATATGTGATGAACAAAGAGCAAGACAGCCGCCATAAGCAATCAATACCGCGCTTTTCCACACATACTTGAAGAAGTCTTTAAAAGCAAAGTGAGCCTAAAACGAACCCTTGCCCCCCAACATCCTCAAATACGGCAAATCAACATTTTCCAGCCGGAAATCGAATCGAGTTGTGAAACAAATGCATGTGCTTGGTGCTCGTAGATGTTTTCTACACTCTGGCAGGGCTGGCGCCTTGGTAAGACTCGGGTCGAAGGTATGATTCGATCTTCACACCCTTGTGGATGTCGTTGAAGAACTTTGAAGCCTGGGTCAGGCCAAGTCATCCTCCATCCTGACCCGTCGCATGGGCCATATCAAGTCAATCAAAAGCACACCCCCGATTCCACCCCTGGAAGATGATGTTCAGCAACCCAGTGCTTATCTCCAAAGGGTCTGTGAAGCGAGTGGCCTTTTGTGGAAAGAAATCACCGTCTTCCCATCTGGAGCAATCCCTCTCCCTTCACATCTTGCCCCACGCTAAACCGAAACCCCCAGTTCCCCTCTTTGAAGCTTTAAACTTTAAACCCACAAAAAAGATTTGAGAGACTGAGTTTTTGGAGTCTAGGTGTCCCAGATCCTAGGATTTGGCTGCCATGCCTCATCCCCAGCTCCTCCCCACCAAGTCCTCCCCAGGCCCAGGTGCATCCGAGCCACGTCCTTCCCCGCCCAGGCCACGATGGTAGTGGGACCTCCAGGGTGACGGTCCATGAACTCCTCAAATGGCCGGAGTGGATCGCTGCGGAGTGGATCGCTGCGGAGTGGATCACTGCGGGGTTTTTGAGTCCATGGATAGTCCATGGATAGTAAGAGCTCCCGCGACTTTCTAGTGATCCATCTGGGCATCTCGCCCTTTTCACGCATGTTACATTCCATCATATTCAAGCCAATAGCTGTGAAAGAATCTCCTAGCAACGACCCCGTTCTAATTGGGACCTGCTTCATCTCGGATACTCGCTACGGTTATCACCATGAACATCGGTTTCCTTGTATGACCATGGACCATTCACCACAGTTCTTCACAGAGTGACATCGTCGATAAGTCAATTGCTTTGTGTTGTTTTAAGTTTTGGGCGCATCGGTGGCAGAATTGCACGTTCGCACCACAATGATCAACATCATGTCTCACTCCCCGGGGAGGCCCCGCAATGGCCAAGCTGGGTGAACATATGATATGGGTTTGGGAATGCTTGTCATGTGCCTACTAAGCATTGGTAGTACCACTACATCGCGGCCACAGCCGGAAGAAAGGGTGCACTGCTTGGAAACAATGAAGGCCCGCTCCCCTCGGAAAATCATCAAAAGGGTCTGCCCATTTGAGAACTTAATTATGGTAGGTGAAGAACTTGATCCATCAATCACAGAGAATGGCCCAATCACAACATGTCATAAGCAAAGGAACCACATCACATTCAGATCCAGCGAGAGTTCTGGTGTCAAACCTGCCAAAGGCTCTGAGAGATCGTAGACTTTCCCATTCAACGCCACCTTGAAAGTTCGGTGAAGAGAGCAGTTGGGTGAAACAGGGCAGCCGATCTTGGTGGTCCAAGTCTACAGCGGGGGGAAAGTCCTAACAAAGTACAGTAGTGCAGTGGCCAACAGGCTAGCAATGTACACCATGCGGAGCAGAGATATACTCCCTGTAAACATGCCTCGAACATCGTTTCTGGCAGCATAGTCGACTTCACAAAAGACTTTCAAGACGTTTCAAGACCCATAGTCTTGCAGCTGTGGGAGAACCTAGCAAGAAACACTCCCTGAAATGATCAATCATAGGAGTGGAAAATAGACCTAGCCCACATTTTCCGAATACCAAACATGTGGTGCACTCCCACTTCCACAAATAGCTCAGGAGTGTAATGGTTTGTCTTTTTTGGACACTGGACCAACAAAGAAAGGTATGATGAACCTAGACACTTCCCGCCCCCCCCAAAAAATCCAATCAACCAACGCCCGACGCCAAGCATGATGAACTGGTCTTGGTGAGAGGTCAGCCAAGGGTGGTTTCATTCCAGGCCATCCACATGGATGGGGATGCAGCTATGTGGCAAACGGAAGAAATGACCAAACATGGTTGGAAGGGCCTCCATCCTCGAGCCACTCATCCACATTCATTCGAGGGGGACCTTAACTCCTCGGAGATTCACCTTCAAAATGAATCCAAGGCACCCAGCAATCCTCGGGGATGCAGTGGCGGTTCACTTCACTCAAGGGGATGTTGCCTCGGCTGAGAACACCGTGGCCGGTGGATTCCGGAGTGTCTGAGGAAGGTAGGTCGCCATGGTACCAAGGCGACAAACACGCACACACAACGGACTTGGGTCCGCAATTTTTGGCATGGGAATCTGTATACTGGATCTGGAAGCTTTCACCAGTTTCAAGATGTTTCAAGCCATCAAACACTTAATTAATATGAGGTCAATGGGAATAAGGGTCAATGGGAAATAATAAGGGAGTGATTTGGATGATATCCAACGCGGCAGCCCCCGAGCGGCACCTGTGCAAGGAGTCAAACCTTGTGCTTCGCCGTGGCTCGCGGCGAAGAACTCACGCGCGCGGTGCAAGGAGTCGAATTCACTACCCGGTCCAATAGAAGGAACACGACTGGTAGCGCTGGTCATGGTCATTGACTTGGAACTTGGCCTGTTGGTGGAAACAATGCTAGCAGGTCCAACCAGGTCCAAATTATACACATGTGAAAGTGAATGACCAGCAGCATAGGCATAGTCATGGGTGCGGGTCCGGAGAAAGCACAAACCGGAACACAATCCATGTACCACATAGCCCCACCGCTTTGTGCTGTGCTTGTTGATTCAGTTTCCTAACTCTCCCCCAACCCTTCCAACCGCCAAACCATCTGAAGGTAAGTGGCGGGAGATGGCCATGGATGGAGCCTTCTTGAGAAGTCCAACCTCCCTCTCAGGCATGGGCGCTGGATGGCACGAGTACTTGTGGCCCTCGTGCATCATCTTGATGTGCACCTGAAAATGAAGGAGCGTGCTAGAAGGGAGAAGAGGATCATGGTAGCCTGACATCTTCCAACGACCTGACTATCTTCCCCTCCATCTCTTGGACAAAAGCCCTCACAAGCTGACCATCCCCCATCAGCGGCCTCCAGTTCCCTCTTCTCTGGGAAGGCTTCGGTACAATAACCACAGCCCAAGAAGGCCTCGGACCTCAAGCAAAATAATGAAACATGTCGTTGACATACTAAGGGATCGGAATGTCATGTCAAAGAAACACTTAGTGCCGTTCCGTTGAACGTTTTTGAACACTAGCTACTGCAAAAAAAACACTTTGTGTCTTCTGTGTGCACTGGTTGCTAGTTCGCTCACACATTTCCACCGTACTCACAATCTTATTACACAACTGCGACAGAAAAAGAAATTAAATACAAAAAACATAGAACAGCATCTGTCATTCACTTCTCTCGGCGGTGCTTGTTCTTCATCGGCGAGCGGCTCGCGGCTGGCAGGATGTTCATCGGACATCACCACGTCGGCCATGACGGTTATCGACACCAAGCGACTGAGGGAGCGTGCGGTGCAAGAAGCTACTGAGTACTGTGTGGCTGGCGGGAAAGGTCCGGCAATGTCATGCCGCGTCATGCTTGGATGGGCCGGTTCAGCGTCCATGAAACATCGAATCAAGCACCGGCGCGTCACTGTTCCGACGGAGGGTCCCGACTTGGGTTCTGATACTATGCGATCTGCGACGTGCTCCGACGTTCTGCCATCAATCCTGCGCCTGGCAGGCATTCTGCTTGGCACATATTCTGGCATCGCTTCCGGCATTCTGTCTGGCATATCTTCCCGCATCCTCTCTGGCATGTCTTCAAACATCCTTCCTGGCTTCACTTCTGGCATGTATTCTGAAATTCTATCTGGCATGCGTGCCCAAACCGCACCTAGACCGCTCTCTGTGTTCAGGTCCGTGTGCCTCCGACGCCAGCCACTGTGCTGGCGCTTGCGGGGCCATGAGGATGAGGAGGCGCGGTAGTACGAGTGACATGATTGGTCAAAATCTAAAGACCCTCACCTGGTAAGTGGGGAAAAACAAGTGAAGCCAACAAAAGTTCACAGGCTAAGGACACGTGTAATTCATTTGTAGTTATTGTTTGTTCTCGGGGTCATGTCTCTATATTGACACTCCTTGAGTTCATCATCGAAGTGGAAAAAAAAAAAAACAAAAAAACACCTCTTTGTAAAGGAAAATGGTCACCCAAATTTCCACTTCCATGATCTTCATCTTCATATTATACTGATTACAAGAAGGTTTTTTGAAACAAAACACAACAGGACTCCCAGGCATTTGACTCTCCACTGAGTTCCCTCGGCGCCCAGCAAGTCGCTCGATTTTTCTGCGAGTCGCTTGAGAAATGATCGGAACTCAAATTGAGCCGTGGTTTTTCCGGCCCAACTCGTGGGTCTATTGAAGTGGCCCTTTTTGCGGGCTTGGGATGGCTTGCCTCAGTGGGCTCCATGTAGGTAGTACATGCCCCCACCAAGGTCAAGCAATCCGAGCAGGGTTCCACCCTACACTGTACACTGATTCCCGACAACACCCCAAGGTCAAGGCCTTTCCACACAAGGTCCCACCTTATGACGAGGACATGGGTTGAATTTAGAAAAAAACATCTTCCCAGTTATTATCTGACGATACATTCTTGTGCAAGATTTGGAATTCCTGGGGCACTAGGGCCGGGAATGCAAACTGGGCTGCTAAAACACACCGCACCAGTAGCCCTGAAACGACTTGAAACGGCTTCGTATGTGGAAGCTTCGAATCCATGATATGGCCTGTGGGCATAGGAGGAAAGAAAACATAATATGATTCAATGATGATGTTGGGTTCACTTTCTTGGGCTTCTCTTCACTAAACCTCTTCTCTTTTCAATTTTGGCCATCGGTGCCAGAAAGGGGTTCTTCCTCCGAATCGGCCCCGCTGTCGGACACGTCTGGGCCCGGCAACAGCCTTTAGATGAATGGTGACACCTTGCGCACCACGCCACGGCCTTGGGAGTAGTGGTAGAGAGTGGTGTAGCCGAGGTGGAAGGGCAAGAAGGCATACCTCGGGGCGAGATGGGGCGAGGAGGTTTCGCAGAAGACTGGCTTCCAGGTGCAGTTTGGGGAGGATAATGGCAGCTGACACCAGGGCACCACAGGTGTGGCAGAAGGATTTTGAACTTGGCAGCCGCTGCTTGGTCATTCCGGCTGGGCTAGAGAAACCATCTGATCCAGCAGGATTCATTGGTGTTCAACTGCGCTGATCTGACTTCAAGTGGTAATTCTTCGATGTGATTCGCACCTTGGGATCAGGACAGGACCCCCAAACTCACCCCACATGAGCGGCACGAAGTGGGACCGCCCTAACATCCAACGAGTGGGGCCTGACCACTCGGGCTGACCCAAATCCCTTGCGGCCAAAAGGCTGCAAGAACTTGCCCAAGACCTGGGCCGGTCTTCTAGGGTCCGAAAAGGATCTCGAGGGTGCGGTATCTGGAATGGTTAGAGGTAGATATGTGTTGAAACAACCACCTTTGGCCTTGAAGGGTTTGATATGTGGACCTCGCCCACCTGCACCCCTCCAGAATTGATGGTGAAATATGGACATCGGCAAAAAGTCAATATATAGATAGCTATACAAACTACAAACACATATTGATGCCTCCTTGCAGGCACAAATCACTATAGCTGGACATGGCGCACATGCTGACCCACTGAGAAGAATGGATGAGCCTGGCCATCCCTTTGCGTTAGGCACTTTGAGACCTTGAGCCCTAGTTGGGCTACCAGAGCTATGGCTATACTGCACCAAAGCCCCCCAAAACTCACATCTTCACGGCCCGCTGGAGCCGTTCAGCTGTGCAGCTGCCCCGACCTGCAGGACTTCCTCCAGCCGCCTGGCTCACCTCCAGACCGCCCTCACCAGTAGCTACTATATAGTAGCAAGTGCATTACTAAAAAGGAGCAAAATAGCTACTAGATGTTGTCAGCTGGCAAAGCGCACTGGTGCTGGTGTCAGCTGGTTGTGCGCGCTGTGGAGATGCCGTAGGCTGGCTGTGCAGGCTGCGTACATTCTTGTTCCAGCCAGTCGCATGTCAACAGGTCGTGGGATTTTGCCATCTGGGTCTATGCTGGTACAATTTTTCCCCAGATAGCGACAGCTATGGGGCCCTTACTTCAAATAACAATAAGCTGGCTGTGCGAGCTTCTAGCCTACTATAGTAGTGATTATATAGTAGTAATGCCCTTTGTTACTGAGTAGCACTGCCCTTGCTACTACTTCTTTCGGCCGACCACCCGAAGCCCCGGGTGGTCTAGCCCAACCAGTGCCGTCCCGACCGCCGTCCCGAGCGTGGCCTTGTGCGCATCGATGGACTGCTTGGCCAAGCGGTCGTTGCGGCGGTCGTCCTCGTCTTTGCCGGTGGTCTCACTGCCCGGAGCCCACTTCAAGAAGTACTCCTTGGAGCGAATCGGTAGAAAGTGAAGGGGCGGCGTGCTCATGGTGCTGATTGGTACTGGAGTTGGGCGTGGGTGAGGGTGCAAAGAGGCGAGGAACATCTGAAACCAAAACCACGGCTGTTGTACATCATCATCATCATCATCGTCGTCATCATCACTGGAATCATTAGTGCATCGTCGTACTATGTCGTACATGGTGCTTCGTTCTGGGCGTCATATGCGGGACAGACGCCAGTCCGGCGAGACGCAGCTCCACCAAGACAGCAAGTAAAACAAATCTGTTGCGCAACACATTCCGTCCATACATCCGGTCCTCCGGTCAGCGAGGATTCCTCCGGTCCTCCGGTCGTTGGAAAACTCGGACCCTGTTGCAGTCCACGGTTGGTCTGTCGAGGACAAACCGCCGGACTCAGGGTGCCATTCGATGTCCGTCCCTGGATGCTGCCATGGCGCGTTGGCCATGCCGGACACTGGTAACAAGACCTCGACACGTCGGATGCGAATCGTGGGTCCAACATGATGGAACCAGATGGAACACCTCTCAAGGTCATGACGAACCGAACGCGGAACGGTCCGAAAGATACGGAACCTCAGACTGCCCCAAAAATGAGACAGTGGTCGGTGGTGGCTTCAACTCGCCTGACAAGAGAAAAAACATGATAAGAGTCGAACGCAACAACAAGCTCGTTCCCAAAAACCCTGACAGAAAGTGAACATTCTATAGATAGAGCCAAGGTTGGCCAACTATCAAACACTGACGTGGTGGCTTTGAAGGCAACCCCTGGCGCTCAAAGAGCGCCAGTCCATGTGTATACTTATGATGTACCTTACAGCCTAACTCTGAAATCTCAAGGATTCATTAAAAAATTCCAAAGCAAAAACATGCAAAACCACACTCACAAAGGATGACCAGGAAATGCAAAAGAAATGCATTTCCTAATAGCAAAAAAAAGAAGCCAGAAAAAAAAAAAAAAAACAACCAAAACAAAAGTAGAACAGCAGTTCAAAAGAAAACAAAAAACATGCACATGCACAACCAAAATTCACACACCACCTTTTTTGTGTGATATTTTGTTCGATGGTTTTATGTGCGAGTTTTTCATTTTTTTTTGGCAATTTTTGTGTGTTTTTTGTGTGTGTATTTTTTGCGATTTTGTTGCGTGTTCTCAAGGAAGCGCACAAAAAATGCAAAAAAATCGACCAAAAAAACAAAAACAAAGCAAACAAAATGCAAACGCAAAGACCAGAACGTTTTTGATCGCATTTGTTTTGCTTTTTGATTGCATTTTTTTGCTTTTTGTGTGCGTTTTTGTTGCATTCCAAGGCGTCCTTTGGTGACGTGTTTTTGCGTTTTCTGTGCATTATTTTTTCGGGATTGGTTTTGCATTATTTTTGCATTGTTTATGCATGTTTTATGTTTTGCTGTGTCATCAGAACTAGCTTTAGCGTACATCATAATTGTATACAGTCCATGTGAGGTGAGTAGGTCAGTAGGTGGATAATCAGGCTGTTCTTCTGCGGTTGAGCGTGCTGATGTTTGTAGTCATGGCCAGTTGAACCTCCAATCCTGGGACCTGTGCTAAACGGATCCTTTGCACTGAATAGAGCTTCAAAAGGCTAGCAGTGTCTGACCCACCTTCTTGCTTACATCCGCGTCCAATTCAGAAACTGCATCTTATATGTCTTTGCAACCATTGGTTGCACTGCTGTGGTCCATGGTGGTAAAGGAATTACGTTAAAAGAGCTATAACAAGCTCATATATAAAATGTGTTTAGTTTCAGGAGCCGGATGGACCGGGACCTTACACAATCGGCTCTTGATGCCGTGGCGCCGCCAAAGCATAGAAAAGCCTGAGTTGGCAGCGTTGACCCCACGCCGAAATCGTCGAAGATTTTTGGGTGAGTCATCAGTGCTTAGTGCCTATGACCTGCAACATCCTATTGCCAACTCAAGAAAGGGGGGCGACAAATGATGTTCTTAATGGTTTTCTTCGCGTGTTCGCACTCCAACCTGGAATGCCAACTGCCCGCCAAACGAATCCTCCGAACTTGTGATCTGAAATTGGTTGAAAGCCCCCTTGTTGACTCCCTGTGATTCTCAAAAAGCACATCAGACAAAAGTTCAGCACTGCCAGACATATGTCCAAGTCATTCTTGTCAAACATCCCACAGTCCAGCTTGTGCAGCGTGAATATTTGTTCAAATAACCGCAACATGGAGCAATGCCACTGTCATTCCCACTAGTAGCAATGCAGCGTCAACTGAGAAAGCAAACCCAACCACACCAACCAGCACCAACGCCCTCACCACCTCCCACAACCTCCAACTGTGTCGAAATGCCGGAGGCTGGAGGTCTCCAGGAACTTCACCACAGGATGTCCGGGGAAGCGTGGTGGGATGCCACTCTTCATGCGGAAGAAGATCCGGACGAGGATGGCAGCCATCATGGCAAGGCCCGTCCTATAGGAGTGTGCCAGAGTGCCAGAGGTGTTGGTTGCGGAATTCATCTGAGCGTCTGAGCGACGGCATTTGTTGTGACTAAACTCAAACACACTATCACCGTGGGGGAACCACAACCTCGTTCAAACTACTTTAGTAGGAGGTCATGCCACACAATCTCGCTCAGACTACTTTAGTGTCTCAAAATAAGCATCTCGGAGTATCTCCTCTATTCATGTGGGGGGGGCAATCTTGTTCACCAGCGAATACTGATGTTGGAAAAACAAATATAGAGCATACCGTGGACTACTTTAGTCAAGACCAAATTTAAGTGGTTACTTATCTGAATTCGACACAATACCGCAAGGGTCTCGATTGCGACATCTTTTTGTCATTTTCTGTCAAAGAGTTTTTGAGTAACAGCGGCGACCACTATTGCAATTGCTATCCGAAGTGCCCAAGCAAACCCGACACGCTCACTGGCCTCCTTGCCCTTACCCTTATAGGGTGACCAGCCCAAATCAGCGTTTCAAAGTTCAACTCCTCTCCACCTACAACCACACAAGGATTCAAACAACCCAACCCAACTAATTAGCGCAACTAGCACATCAAACCCAATCACCAATGACACAAAGCGACTGGACCCATTCAGACCTGCACTGCGTGAGGCCAAAGGTAAGCCCCCCACAGCTAAATCCCCGACACAAAAATCACCGGGCAGTGTGTTGACTGGCCGTCAAGGATCTGCTTGTGCCACCACAGCAGCTGCTTTTTCGTCTGCCCCTCGCAGTGCTGGGCCGCCTGCGCCGTCCCCACAGCGCCAAAAATGCCCACCGCCATGATGAGGTGCAAGTGACGCAAGGCACGACTGTAGGTGAACCTCGGTGGCATCCGACATCGACGTCTTGCCGACATCGGGTCACGCAGTGAGTGGTCGAAGTCGATGGGGTTCAATGGCGGTGGAACTATGCTAGCAACCTGATGCAAGGCAACACCAAATCGCTCCTCCCTCACCTTCACATAAAAACTCGCCATCGAATGCCATGGAACTGTGACAAGGGCTTTCGGTTCTGCAAGGTCTTCACCAAATACCAGGCCACTGCACCAACTGCAAGGTCATAGGCCTCCAGCTACGCTGAATTAAGCCGCCCCCCCCTGCAACTTCCATACCGGAGGCGAAACTTTCAACCCCTCGTGCAATCCTTCTAAGTTCACAAGATTTTACAAGCACTTCGGCCATCTTTGGCCACAGCATGCCACAACATCTTCCTTCGTTGGCCTTGTGATTTTCGAGTCTGTGGCACGGCCAACTATCCAGCCTACGACTCCCCACCAAGATCGCCCTGCGCCTTGTAGCGCAAATAGCGTTGCACTTCTGAGCCGCCGGCAGCGCTGGCGCTCGCGGTTCCCGCGCCAGCTGCCGGGCCGGTGGTCCAGTCAGCAGCTTCGGCAGGAAGCAACTGGCCTCAGCTAAAGTAGGTCATCGCCTCATGTTTAAACAGTGATGTAGGCGGCGAAATGGCGGGACAATAACGGAGCATTATCTTTTCAGGATGCCATCCACTTCGAGCCTTTGTGTGAGTGTTGGAGTGTAGTATGTATGTAGTAGTTTGACTGCCTTTGAAAGGAATAGAACATCAACAATTTAGTTCCTCCAGTGCAAGTTGGCATAAAGAGAAGCTCCCAGACCCAACTACCACAGCAACCCACTGCGATTTCTCAGCCATTGGTGTTCAGCCAGCGCATCAAATATTCGCCACTATCTTGATTTTTGGACAACATCCTGCACCATCCTTCACCCCTTTTTCACCAAACACTGTAGACCTTAGACCTGTAGACACACTGTTTGGGGTCTCTTGCCGGGATAATTTCATTCACCCGCCCGGAATCGCAGGGGACCCCCCTATACTCCTAACTCCACATACTTCTTCCCATTGCGACCCCTCTCGACCCCTTTCCCAGTTGACCGCTGCATCCAGGGAGCCCACCAACATGTCGCGGTCACGCTGCACGCGAGCCTTCTCCGAGTGCTCGAAGACCTGGATCTTTGGGAGCCAGGAGAAAGGCATCCAAAGCTGTCTGGGACACGTGGTGAGCTGTTTCGAGCGGATTTGCTTGACCCGCCATTTGCGGGGAGGACTCATGGATCTCATAATGGACTTGTGTATGATTTTCACATATTTTAACACACAGCAGCAACAAGAAAGCAAACAAGTGAGCCAGTGTCCAGCGGGCAGCCTCAAAGTCTTGAGTGGCATCGGTGCCGGCTTTGGAGAGGAGGATATCATCACCACCAGGGTGACTGCCCATCAAAGACTTCAAGTTGTAGACCTAGGAGACGCTTGGCATTTCAAATTGCTAAAGGCAAAATGCAAAAGGTGTCTTACTAACAAACAAATAGTTATATATAGACGACTGAAAGAGCGCCGGGTGATTGATGTGTTTGACCTGCTTGCACTGTAACTCAAATTGCTCCTTCCAAGCCCGAAGTTATGGCACTTCCGTACGTCAGGTGCAAAACATGCTGAACCTTCGGGCCATGTTGGGCCATCCTGGTGGAGCCTTGGCAGACTAAGAGCACTTCTGTTTCTCAAGGCCCCACCAGCACCACACCGGCCCCAACAGAAACCATCGCCGACGGCATGGCTGGCACGAGGCACCTTGTTGTGGATGATCATGTATGGCTCCTCGGCGGTGTTGTGCTTGGCCACCTCCGCCCGGGAGAAGAAGGGCAGCTCCTTTCCAGCCGTGATCTCCTGGCGGGTGCAACTCTGCGTCTTGTTTTCCAGCTGTGTGGTTTGCAACCTGTTTTTGGGGATGATAGCCGTGGAGTTTGAGGGGCCCCGCAGGAAAAACACACACCTATGACTCTGACGATGTCTTCAATTGGAAGTTCGCCTCTGTCTCAGTAACATGCTTCACCTGTTTCTAGCAGGGTCCGCCATCCACCCCGAAGCATGACGTCAGCGGTGTCCGCGACGCGTCTTCCGCTCTCCTTGAGCTTGGGGAAGCGAGCCTCCTCACCTTCTGTGGGCGCCTCCTTGGCAGTGCCTCCAGTGCTCTGGAGCGGTAGGGGGGTCTACAGGTGGAAGAGGTTGGTTTCGAAGATGAACCCATGTGCTCGTTCACTTGGATACGCAAGTCTCATCATGTCTCATCATCCTCAGTTCATTTGTTCCAAGTCTGGTCTCTTCCCCAGATGTTGATGGTGACATGCAAAGTAGCCTTTAGGTACAGATCATTGTGAATGCTTCCTTGTCTCGGAATGGTTGATGAAAGGGGTTCCCCAAATGGTGAAGGACTCAAAAGCACTCCCCAATTTCCCACACACGGGCAAGTTTCTTCAATTAGTATGCCCTTCGGTCCACGCAGTGCTTCGAGTGCTTCGGTCCATGTAGTTTTCAGGGCTTCTCAGACTTATATCCAATCAATATCCCATCAATTGAAGGTCCGTTCCATCCCATGTCTCCGAATCCCCAATGTCTGCTGTCGCCTTGGCTTTCACCCGAACCCCCACCCTCCGTGCCTGGGACCTTTTGAGTGGCCGCCTTTGCTGCTTGGATCTCCTCTTGACTTGGGCCCTCCAACTTGTGAAGCCTCGCAAGGGAAGGGTCACGGGTCGGGGCAAGCAGGGCAAGCAGGAGGTTGTGCAAGTGGGAGAATGGAGGAGTTTTTGGATCAAACAGGATCGGCATGGATCCGCAGTATATTCTTACAAGAGTGCCCAACGTATATCACTGCAAAGACTTCTCTCATGCCTCTCTCAAATTGAAACCTGTTTAATCCTTTTCCAATCTCTATAAACAGCGTTAAATACATGTTTCTACCAAAGCAAACTTGCTGTACAAATTGTAGTTGCTTCTTCCGCCGCCACAAAAGGAAAGGGGTATCCAACGGGTCCTAAACGATTCTCAATCCCGAAAGCGTCTACTGTATAACATGCATGGAACCTGAAAACCACTGGTTTGTGGAGGAAGCTGGTTTTCCCAAGGATCTATTTCCGGTTCCATTTTATGTTCATCTTTCCGCGTGTCAAAACGCTCCACAGAAAGCCTCCGACCTACATCCGATCGATCCAGCCGATCCGCTGAACTTGCAGACCAAGAGGCTCATCCTGCAGCTTGCGGATCAAGGCGATCTTTGGATCCACCTCTGGCTCTTTGCCTAGCGAACATATGCGAACATTGGAAAAAGACACGCGCCCCAGAATGGCAACACACATCAGAAACATATGAAGACATGTTGTTTTTTAGTATTGACCCTTCACAGGCCATGTGTTGCAATCAGGAACCCCTCAGGGGAGCCCCTGTTCCCGGTTTGAACATGTTACAGCTCAGCTCTACTGAGCAACTTGCAGGTTCCCTGTTTGAAGTCACGCCCAAAGGCTTCACATGTGAAGGCCTCGCCATGTGAATTGGCTCTCAAGTGAACAGGGACGTGATGTCAACAAGGGCACGCATTCACTGCATAGAGCGAAAAGGAAAGGACACACATCTCAACTCTAGCAAATGAAAGGTTGCTGAACAAGTGGGGAGACCAAATCTCTGCAAAACTCTGCAGTTGGTCTCCCAACAAAACATAACAAAACCAACAGCCCACCTGTTCACTTTCACCAGCAAGCACGTCCACTTCCACAGTCAACCACGTGCCAGCCCATCTTCCTTCTCACCACTCACATGCTAGACCGTTCATGGACTGTCACCATGGGTTATCTTGACACTGGCTGACTCTAACTAATTCATGCGGTCCATGACCACTTCCTGAAGCCGAAGCCTTCGGCCGTCACAGCCAAGAAGCCCACTTCGCCCATCTTCGCCTGACGCCCGGACGACTAGCGCGTTGTAAGAGGATGTCTTCTTTGCCAGTAGTGGGATGTCTTCTGTCTCAGCTCAGGTGGGGCAATCTGTATAGAACAGAAAACAGTTCACTGAAGGCGTGGGTTCTCCTCTTGCTTTGATTGCATGTTGAGTCTGATGATGTCTCGTGTGCTGGTTCTACAGCACATCGCAACCTCATGGGCTTCGCTCAGAATGTGTGCCACGCAGTGGGCGAAAGCTAATTTCGCAGGTACATGTTCTCTCGGGAATCTTCACTCACGTGGTTAACCTGTCGTCTCTCAAAATTGCCGTTCCTATGCTCCTTATATGTATTGCGTTTTGTTCCTAACACATCACCATGTCACCCACTTGGAAAAGGCAGTCCATCTTCCAAATCGGGTTCGGAAACGGATGCATTTTTTAAACGGATGGACTCCTGCTGTTTGTTCAGTTAGTCTCTGCCTCTGGGCGCATGTAGAAATCCATCCAGTTGGCGCTGGGGAAGCGTCCCGGGATCCTAGGCATGGACGAAGGTCTCATGATTGGACAGGAAAAGGCCATGTGTTGGGCATGAATCATGATTTATCATGATTTATCTATCTATCTAGCACACGCCTTTCTGCCAACCCAACCTGGGAGGATCCTGGAGGCCCTCTTCTACATGATCTTCCTGATCGCAAGTGCGGAATCCCCCACAGCAAAACGACTGGAGTACCGGGTCCTTCGCCCACTCTCAGTGCAATGACAGAAAACACGGTTCATGCAGAACTGGACTTGAGCTCGCTTGTTTCCCTTAGCCGCCCAAGGCCCCGTAAGAAACTTGATGTAGCTCCAGAAGGTGGATCCAAGAACTCAACCGCAGCCCTGACACACGGACTGGTTCCGGCCTCTTCTATTTCAACCCGCCCGGTTCTGCTTTCGTGACATGTCATGTCACTTGTGAACAGAGTGTGGCACGGCGAAATGGACACATGGACAACCTTCACCACTTCGTCTGGCTACATGGTTTACACTGTCTTCCTGATGACCATGTTTGTGTAACACAAGCACCTCAAGACAAAGAGCCGCATGCGTCGGGTGAACTCCAGGGGATCAAGTCAACCACCAGGAGTCGGAGCCCCGTCTCCAGCAGTCTCACCATAGATGGCCAACCGAACCCAACCCGAAAAGGAACAAGTAATACGGATTGGTAGGACTGGTTTTGATTCTTTGAGGGATCTCACCCTTTTTGTTCCTTTTGCGAGTGCTGGGCAGAAAAGAAACTAAAGCAAACAACAGCTTGTGTGCGACGTCCAAGTCTCTTGTTCCACACGGCCGTGGCATCACGGCCGGCCCAGGCCAGGATGGCATTGCGCTGCTCGGGGTGCTGGGTCAAGAAGTCGGTCAAGTCGTAGACGGTGCCGTTGAGGGCCTTGGTGCTAAGTGGTTCTCTCGAATTGGTGTGGATGTGGATCAATGTGGATGGATTCGATTCCCTCCAAAGACTGGTTCTCCGATACAAGTTAGGATCCGGCCCAACACTGGTTTACCAGTGGAATCAATGGTTCTTATCGTAGGCTATCAAAAGTGTGGGGCTACTAGACAAACAAATTTAAAAGCACAATGCCCTCCGTTACAGAAAGTTGGGAGAACAGGCAGGCAATAGGGGAGCTTGGATAAAACAAATGGACTGTGGTGGAGAAGCTCATTGCCTGTGAAACCATGACACAGGCATACAAAGGCAACCTTCCTCAACTTAGATCAAGAATTCTGATATTTCTGAGTGTTATTTTGGTTTGGTCAAAGATTAAGAAAGTGTGAGCGATTGAGGAGTGTGATATGGGTTGATATGGGTTATTTTTATGCTTGTACAGTACACACTACGAGCCGTTCCCTAAGAAGATCCAAGCCACAACCCAGCAGTCGTGTGGCTTGTTGTGGCGTGCCACTTCGGACAGTGGGATGCAGCTGCTTCCGGCGTCCTCGACAAACACGGCAAGAAAACACGACGCAGCGGAACGTCCGCGGGCCTCCCCATCACCAACAGCACGTGCGTGCAGCCCTGCTGCAGCTCCTTCCTTCTCAACAAACATGGATGGAGAACTTCCCAGGCAGGTTTGTTCTCTGGAAGTCTTTTGAAGCATGGCCATGCCTTTCATCGCAGAGAACTCACCTAAATTAGGTGGCACATGCCCGCAATGATGTCATGTGGTCACACATCACTGCACCATACCAAAAGGAAAAAACACGCATCTCAATGTCGAGATAGCGACTACAACCCTGCTTCCTTAGCAAGGCTGAAACATGCTAAAATCCTGGCGCAACACCCGCAAACCAAGCTATAGGAGGGTGCCATGCCAAAAAAAAAACCTCCCTCCCACAACCAAGAGTCCAAGGGAACGTCATGAAGATGCGCATGATCATCGTGCGACAACAACTCCTGGCGCAAACCACCAAGCCGCCGATGGTCCGGGCAAGGCAAAGGGAGGGCATCGAAGCCCGGAAGTGACCCAGCGTGGCAGTGAGACGGTCTGGGCCCTCAGAGGATCAAACATCTATGAGAAATAGACCAGAGTGGTCTGTTGCAAGGCGGCTCTTCCACGCACACTCTACATCTCTGACAGAAGATGCAATCCATCCACTCCTTGTTCAGTCCATGTATGCAGCTCCAAGCCAATACACTCCGGTCGCCCCAAGTGCTGGCGTTTTCATTCGTTCTCGGCTCCTCCACCGCCTTCTTGATCTCCGCAGCCTTGGCGTAGTCTTCCCCGTCCAGCGCCGCGCGCTTCTGCGTCTCCAAACGCTGCAGTTTCTGCTTCAGATCCTGGTCCCGGTGAAGTGGTGAGGTGGATCTGTGCCGTTGGGATGGTGGAGGCTACTTTAATGTTAAAAGCTTTAAAAGCACTCAGGAACAACATAAGTCTTCACTTTCCCCCCCAACCTATGGATTGTTCTGTTATGAACTGCTTCATATCTGCTCAAGTGGATTGCTATATGTGAAAGGCACGCAGGTATCCTTTCACTGCCAAGTGGCTGAGCTCACATTCTTATCCTGCAGGAGCCGCTGCACGCTATCGGCCTTAGCGCCTCCACTGACCTGGCTCAGCAAACGGTCCAGCTCTTCCTTCAGCTCGTCAATGCGCGCCTCGCGCAAGGTGTGGTAGAAGGAGTCCTCGTGATGGAGAAAAAGCGGCGCCAGCCGCGCGCAGGGAGTGGGGTTCAATCAAGCGCTTGAAGTGTCTATCCAAATGCAATGAAGTGTGAAGAAAGCAGTATGTAGCAAAAAGCGTGCCCGGACTTGGAGGACATGCATGAGTTGTTTGACAATGTGTGACATCAGCCCATGATAACAGGTTCGTGCAATTTCGTGCATATGTCTGCGTATTCGTGTGCTTTGGTGCACGCACGAACTGCTAGTCAAACAAACAAGTCCACCGACCCCACTCGTGGGGTGAGGCGTGACCGTCGATGATAGCCTTAGCCTTAGCCTTACCCTTAGCCTTATCCTTAGCCTTAGTCCTTAGCCTTGGCCTTACCTCCCCTACCCCTCCGGACCCTTGTTGCAGTGACGAAATCTGCCGAAATCTGCCAAGATTTCGCCAAGATTTCTCCAAGAGTTGTCCAAGATTTCTCCATCCCAATTGATTACATCTTGGGGCACCCTCTCCACCCGCGCGGGAAAATAAGCACGGTCCATAAATAGTCCCGGGCTCGAATCCCGGGATGGTCGCGGCGTGATCCCCGCCAATACCCTTGATTTTTCCTAGATTTTGTCACGTTTTCCATTGGATTTGTAGGATTTTCAAAGGCTTTTCCAGATTTTCAATCGCTTCTCCAGCATTTTCCTAGGAATGCTCTTGGTTTTTTCTACGAGTTTGTTACGTTTTCCGCTGGATTTGTAGGATTTTCGAAGGATTTTCCAGCATTTCGTGTTGTTTTTGGGTTCCCAGATTTCCCCAGAAAATTGCTAACCCATGTTATTCCATTGTTGTACTCATGCCTTTCGTGCGCTTTGCCAAGGTTTTGACAGGATCCCTGGTTACTTTAGGTCTTTGTAAAGGCTCTGTGTTGCTTTTTGGGTTCCCAGATTTGCAAAGAAAATTGCTAACCCATTTTCTTCCGTTGTTGTTCTCATTCCTTTCATGCGCTTTGCAAAAGTTTTGACAGGATGCCTGGTAAATAAGCATGGTCCATAAATGATACCGGCCTCGAGTCCCGGGCTGGTCGCGGCCTGGTCCCTTCCAGTGCCCTTGGTTTTTCCTAGATTTGGTCACGTTTTCCGTTGGATTTGTAGGATTTCAAACGTTTTTCCAGCATTTAATTACTTAGGAATGCTCTTGCTTTTTTCTAGAGTTTGTCACGTTTTCCGCTGGATTTGTAGGAGTTTCAAAGGCTTTTCCAGCATTTCCCCTGGTTTATTTGGGTATCTGCCAACGTCCTCTGCTAGCCTACGACAACTACACCGAGCGATTTTCCAAGATAATCTCAGCCATTGATGATACCTGCACAGGGTGACATACGTGGGCAACGCCCTCTCTGGCTGACATAAATTTGCCAACACGACGGACCACCTACTTTGCTGCCGCAGTGACACATCGTGTCTCTCCGTGTTCCCCGATTTTTTCCCTCAAAGACCTCAAATGATACACTTTAGCAAAATAACTTAGACCAAAAAAACAAAAACTAGACGACGAGTGGCCCGAAAGCATTTTTCATCACGTAGGAAGTCAGAGTGTGAGTTATCTGTTAAGTGTTCAGTGTGAAGTGTTAAGTCGTGTGGGTTGAGGCAGTGTGTGGGTCTCTGTGTGTGTGTATCTATGTCTGTGTGTGTATGAGTCTCTGTCTGTGTGTGTCTCCGAGTAAGTTGAGGCAGTGCGTGGGTCTCTGTGTGTGTGTCAACCTTTTAAGAGAGCCGGGTGGTCGGGAGACATGACTCAGCTGCAGGGGCGCCAGAGCAGCTGCGAGAGATGACTCAGCCGCGTACTAAAGTTGTACTACAAAGTCGCCAGTTCTCATCTTCCAGCTCCCCAGATACTCCGCG